ACCTTAATCGCTATTTGTTCACGACCGAAGCTAAATTGGTCCAAGACCCTATAAAGCTCTCCCACCGGTCGTATCACCGGGTATTATTGGGCCAGTATGGGCTTTTTTATCAGGCTCAAACCCGGCCCAAATTGTAATGGGCTCAAAAATATGGGCCCAAGTCGTGCCCAGCACGCAAATTATCGGGTTTAGCCCGGCCCATTCCGGACCTTACTTAATATGCTAAACAAATGTGATATTCCACCGATAGCCTATTTGATTTTCTCTAGGCATGATGTCAACTAAAATTAAAAATCTGAACATAATACCGGTAACTAGCACTTCAATCTGTATACGATCAATTCGGATTATATTCGGATATCCAGATTCATTAATTTTAAACGGATAAAATGTTGTCTCAAATTGTAGAGCGATTAAATTCTAAATTATTGTTGAAAGTTTAAGATATCGCTTATGAATATTATAAATTAACAACCTTTTTTTTTTATCGTTATTTTTGCACTTTGTATATTAGTTATAGAAACTAAATGGTTTAGAACAGCGTCCTTTAAAAAATTGCAAGGCTTACAGTACTGATAAGCATAGTATCATTAAATCTGTACACTCTGGATCTCGATTACTAAGGGTCATTTATAACAGTAATGTGTATATCGGATAAATCCGGGCGTTTGTGCATGTAATAAATATTAAATAAATATGCAGTAGACTATATAAAAGGAAGGGAATTAGTATGTACGTACATACGTACTCTTTTTCTCATCATAAATATAAAACGAAATACATACGTCGGTATCATGTAATCAGTGAGGGTATAAGTGGAGCAATTTGTGGCATAAACTCATTTGTTAATCTATGCATGAATATATCTTCAAGTTTTATCGCTTTAATTTTTTTTTTTTCTTATACTTTTTTTTTTTTTTTTTTGGAAAGATTGTTGGCTCAGTAAAAGAATTAGTAATCAAGTTTCTAGAAAACATAAAAAAATCGAATTTCTTAAATAACATCCACATCAAGTCTCTAGACGTTGGAGACGTAATTTCTTACATTGTCAATCCCAATGGTGAATTAAGCATAGAATTTAATGTTAATTATAATAATGGGTTTTGCGCAGAAATAGACAGAAGCAATGATCATAGTAACATAACTTAAAACAATAAAGGTTTACTGATTCTAACTGTTATATTGAGATAACTGACAGAAAAATTGTTATTTCATATTAAATTTCACCAATAAACTGAATATGATTTGGTTTTATAAAACGCCAAAATTAAATTTACTAATTGAACTCATGGTTAGTGCTAAAAAAAAAAAAAATAGGTAGAGCATCAATTTGGATTAGAGTTTTGTATAAGTTTAGCATTAGATAATAGAATGGAATTACAAATATAAAATTAGAATTTGATAGATGGATTAATTTGTCAAAAATGGTTTGATAAGGAATTGTGAGGACCAACATGAGGTTGGTTCTAACGTGAGGTCAATTGGTATTTTTTATGATTACTAATCGTTGGTGGACTTTAAATACTAATTGACCTCACGCTGGAACCAACCTCATATCGGTCCCTCACAAGGGATTACTGATTTATAAGCATTAGCTGGAGGATCGATACATTAGTTTTTAAATATCAGGTATGAACTATGATGAAAATTTACAAATAATAGAAGATGATAATCTGGAATACGTATAACTATGATGGTGATTTTGAAACCATGTATATTGATTTGAAACAAGAAAGTCAATCTGAAAGTTCAAGAATTTCATTTCATGTATTAACAACTACTAAAACACCACCAGTATTCAAGCAGTCTTAGAAGATAAAGGAAAAGGTACTAAATTATAAACAATAAACTAGGAGTTTAAATATATCTAATTAGTAGGTTTTACTTTTTTTTAGACAAGGTGTCTAATAGTGCCAAAAGTAAGAGACAATATAGACAACTATTATTTACCTGAAAATACTTTAAAAAAGAAATTAATAACATGGCTAAAGAAGTGAGACCTTAAATAAAAGTATATGCTGATATAATCAAAAGCATAAGGATGTGAGAAGTTCAACTAAAAACTTTATCATATATTTCAAATATGAATATAAAATTGTTTTACTTGATGTGGTAGTTTCAAAAAAGGTAAAAAATAGTTGTATAAAATTGAATATATATAATAAAAATACACTTTATTAATATAAATCTTATTGTTACTAATTTTAGATATAAGATTTTAAAATTACCAATTTTGTATAAAAAATTCATTCTTATCCTAAATATATTTAAAAAATATGAAAAAAAGCAGTTTTTAAATAGACAATACTTGCAAATTAGGCTCTCTTCACAGTTACCAATAATGCTTTTAAAAAAAATAGCTGAATTTGATTCTTTTTTTTATTGTACTTGGTGAAAAAAATTAAATAGTAATTATAAAAAGTTTTTAATATAATTTAAAGAATCTTATAAAAATTGTAAAAATATTTCTCTCTTGATAGATTTCTGATCTAGAAGAGCAAAATAAAAATATTTAGAGATTACTGCAACTTGGATTATATTAAATCTTGTAATAAAAAATATAATATTAAAAAATATATATGGGTCTTTGCCTTGAAAATGACCTTATGAAACCATGTAGATTTTATGAATAAAAATTGAAATTTCTAGCTATCTAATAATCCAATTCAAATATTTTTTTTTTTATTTTGTAGAATTCACTAAGCTTTACAAATAAAAAAAAAGGTTATTTTAATTGGATTACTGGATAGCTAGAAATTTTAATTTTTATTCATAAAATCTACATAGTCTCGTAAGATAATTTTCAAGGCAAAGACCCCATATGTTTTTTCATATACTAATAAAGCTATTACTAATAAATTTTATAAATTTATTGAATTTTGTAATTTTAAAAACTATATACTATAATACAATTACTATCTCTTCTTTATAACTCTACAAAATACAATTTTACTCAAAATATTGTGATTAACTAGATCTTATAAGCTAAACAACAAACTTGTATTCTATTTTACTTTATAACTTTAACTTATATAGTGATATTAGCAATTTCTAACCAAATACAAACTAATCAACTTTCTCTATTGCTTTAATATGTTTAATATTGTTACTTATCTCAACAATACCTATTACACTTGGTTTAATAACATTAGCTCAAGTTATATTGACTATATCTAAACAGATTTATTTAATTTACAATTTCTTCTCAACTTTGAACTTCACAATAGCAAAACCAATACTCTTAGTAATTATCTAATCTTATCTTCTTTCTAAATATTTTACTATGCTTTTAGCAAACCTTTTTGCCTTTATACAAATATTGGCTATAGAATATTGATTACAAATTAACCTTCTTTAACCAATAAACCCAATTCTCTAATCTTGACTACTATCTTTTTACATAACAACATATTTTTTTGCATATTTATATAGTTGAAAAAATTGATACAATATAACACAAAATTCAATATTATATTCTGCAGACTGCAATCCAAACTCTTTCTAATAAAATATCTTACAAGCATAGCTATAATCACAAATTTAGCCTATAGTATACTGCACTTCATATTGATTTTAAAAAACTAGATAATCTTATCAAAACTATTAATAATAACTCCAACTTATTTAACAAGTATCTATTTTATATAAATTTTAATATTCTAATTATTAACTCCTATACAAACTGCAATCTCTAACCTATACTTCTTTTGATGACACTACTACTTAAGCATAACTACAATATGCTTATAATATTTAGAAACAAATATCTTATACTTATATCTTAAGTATTCTCTCTGCCTTTGATATTAAATTAATAATATTTTAGAAAAAGGTATAAAACACTAAAATTTTCTAAATATTTAAGCAAAGATATCTTAGCAATTATCTAATCTAATAAAACTAATAAATTAATATAACTTTTTCTAAAGATCACTTTCCGAATTAGAAATAAAAAGAAAAAAGGTTTCTGCGATATTTTTTCTAAATTTTATTAAGTAGCTTGATATCTGGCTCCTAAATAAAGTTATTTAGCACCTTCAGGACTATCTAAATGAGGTGCTATTATATCAGAAGACCTCTTTTGGATAAGTTACCAGCAATAAATACATTAAATAGCAAAAAAGGAGTTTTTTGACTCTCTCACAAAAGCAGTCCTATGAACTTTCAACTTCTAAGAAAAAACAGTAAGAAACAGCAAATCTCATATCTTAATAAATCTCTAGACCCTGCAAAAAGCATAGTCTTTGAAAGCTCTTCCTATATCTTTAGTTAATTTTCTTAGCTCACAAAACCTATATACTAAAGATATTTATACTACTAGCTTGCCTCCTAGCCCAGACACAGAATATACAAAAAATTTTTTAAAAATCACTATTAAAGACTGGTTTAAACTCATATTTACTGTCAGCTTCTCTTTTCTAGAGCATGCTAATATATTTGTTTTCTTTGTTGATATTACCAAATTAGAAAAATCTTAAACCTGACCAATTACCTATCACAATGGATATACAGTTATGAAAATTCTACTCAATTTGTCTTATGTGACCTCACAATACAAAAAAACAATACTATAAATATTAGCGCCAAACATTTAAAATTTACACATAGTAGTGATCTTACAACAATAATTAACTCCTACAAAACAATATAGAGCCTTATATGAAGGCTAAAAACAATGCAGACTTATCTATAATTCTATACAACTGTATTACAAACTTGAACTCAGATAACGAGTTAAACAAAAGCAACAATGAGCAAGCTTATATAGCAATTTTTATAAAGCTTAATTCCTTACAAGAACTAATCACAGAATATACAAATAATAGTACAAGCACCAAGAATACCAATCTGGTACCCCCTACCTACAAACAAACCCCCTAACTCTAATCCCATTAGTGCTTTGACACAAACAACATTGAGACTATCATGCCTAGATCTAGTATACCTATACAGCAAATTACACAACCTATACTTATCACACCTCTCTAACCTTGTATCTGCAAATATTATATCTTACTTCAGTTCAAACCAAAAGAGGCCCAGAAACCTTTTCAATATCTTGCTACTCAATACAACTGCCAACAAAGCTACTAAAACTATAGTAGGTAGCACATCTATTTCAGTTAGAATACAAGCAGACAAAAAGCCAACCACAAGACCTACCTATAGTCAAGTAACTAAAACTAGTCTTAAACTTCTTACTACGGATACTCCAAAGAATGAAATGGAGTAAACCTCAGAAGTATACCTCAAGATTACTACACCAATCAACACTCTCTTCAACACAAATTCTGGTCATTTGATACAATTACAAAAGCTTTCAAAACACCTTATAGCATCTAAACTTTATTAGCTATAAGCTAACTACTAACTATACAAAATACAAACTACCAGAGCCTATCATACTCAAGTTCATATACCAGAACACTAGATTTTTTATCACTTTACATGCAACTCTAAGACTACTCTAACACATCAAAAAAAATACACAAACCTTTTTAACACTACCCTTGCAGCACACAAGAAAGACAATAAAATTACACTAACTAATACCACCTATAATACTATTTACTTTATACTCAGAAAGATGTTTATCACACAGTATCTCTCCAATATTCACTTCTCTAAGATTACACACAGACAAATTTACAAAACCATTCAGTATGCAAAAGCAAATACTAGGCTATAGTACATCAGCAAAAAATATAGATGCAAAATTTTGAAAGTTATTGCATGCAAAAAAATTGTGAAAGAATTACGATTGACGCGACAGATTGCGAAATTTTAAAATCGCAAAATAGCGCAAAATATTTCGAAAAAATGCGAAAAATATTGCAAAATTTTTTGCAAATATAATACATTAAAAAGACATATAAAATAAAAATTCAAAAAAAATATTTCGCAAACTTTCGCAATATTTTGAAAATTTTCGCAAACTTTCGCAATATTTCAAAAATTTTCGCAATAATTCACAAAATTGCGAAATATTTCGAAAATATTGCGAAATATTTCAAAAATTTTCGAAATATTGCGAAATATTTAAAATAGTGTAAAACTAATATATAATACGAAATATATCGAATATTTTCAAAATTTTCAAATAATTTTAAAATATTTTTGAAATTTAAATACACATATTAAAAACATTT